GTTGACAAAAAATTAGCTAAGGATTGTTTTCACTAACAAATCTAAAACGTATCATTACATCCGGAACTTATGTGTTTGGTTACGTGTTGGTGACTAATATCAGTGATTAAAATTTTAATTATCATTTTGTACCTTAATAGAGTGAGACAATATAGCGATTACTTTTGTAATAAAAAATATTAACATAAATTTTATAAAAAATTTAGTTCGGTTTAATAACAGTTCAATAGTTTACTGGAAAATTTAGTAAGAGTAGTCATAAATAATTGCAAGCGCATAATCTATAAACGGTATCGTAATACAGGCATTATCAGGGTTTTTAATAGTTAATACTGAATAGGTTTATATGTAATTACATAAATATTAAAATAAATGAATAAATATTATATTTGTAATAATAATGATATGAAATATTACAAATAATAATCATTTTAATGGGTGGTAGTTATTAAGAGCATCCATGCTTCTCAGAGAGAACTGATCATAAAAACTATAAATTATTTAAATTAATAGGAGAACTTCAACTTCATATACAGAACGTTTTGCCGTTTTCAAATCAAGCAGTTTTCTTAAACGTTCCTATAAAAACAAATTTGAAATAAAAATATGTAAATAATGTCAAGTTGACGCGGTTTGTAATATTACTCTTAACGAAAAGGTATGGCAAAGTAATTGTTTGATAACTAGGATACGCTGTATTTTTTAAACAAGAATACATTCAAAAATATACGAGCTACGCCTCATACTACGCATTTCAGAACTTTGGTCTGCAGTTATTAAGTTTGCAATATTCTTTCCATTGTGGACACTGAGAGAGTAGTCAGTCGGCATGTGTTCCTTAAAATTTGATTCAAATTGTTGTAACGAAAAGAGTTTTAGATACACAAAAAATGAAGCAATTATGTTATGGATCCATATAAAGGATATATGGATGTCTATCCATGGTGCCAACAGTAGAAAATAAGTAATACCTATGGTGGGGGAATTGCACAATATAGTGAGCTGAAGGTGTCTGATAATATAAAATAATGTTGAAGAAAGTATATATTTGACAAAAATACGATAAACCGTTTTTTCCGACACAATACAAGACTGAAATATTTCATTCAAACAGACGCTATTAAAAACAATGTATTTCGAGATGGAAAATAATTCCTCTAGCATTTGATAAACCTTTGTTATCGTAAACTATTTTATAGATTGTGATTACATTTTTGCATTTCTTGCTTATGAATCAGTACTCTATAATACTCTTCCGTTTTGAAACACTTATTATTAATCATAATTTTACTACGTAACAACCTATACATCAAATGATACCCTGACAAACTGGTGATAAATGGCAATAAACATGTAATTAATTGCTTGTTGAGGTATATTAAGTTTCTATTCTTTGTGTTTCTCGAGAAATGAAGGACCCTTCTGTTGAACATTTCAACAGATTTCTTGAAACTGTAAACGTGGCAAATAATTATATCTACTTCAATGAAAAATAATTTATTTTTGCTTTAGGGATTACCTAGTCAAGATTTCAGAATAGCAATAACGTATTGTTCACAGTTCACTATCTCGAATTTTGCTAGTGTCAGGAAAAACAATTTTTATTAATAAAATAGATCTCGTATTTTAAGGAATTGTTTGTTCATAAACTCTATAAATAGGATTTAAACCCAGTTTTAGATCGTTAAATTCATTTAATCTACCAAAAATTAAGTAAAAGAACAATCCATACAATCAAAAACACAACAATATTCACTCTAGGAACTTTTATCAGGCTTATACCTTCACTCCAGCGGTCATATGTATCCCTCCAGAAGAGCTCGAAACGAGTAACTATAACATTCTGCTCTCCGAATCTTCCCTCTCTTCTTCAACCTCCCCAACCCTACACGGCGGTCGTATGTTGCACACTCCCTCCTCTGTCCTCCTCGTGTCCTGAGCTGCGCTGGCTCACACCCACACGCACAAACGCACACACACACACGCGCGCGCACACACACACACACGCACGCGCGCGCGCGCGCGCGCGCGCGCGCGAGCGCCTCGTAAATAATTCGCACCTCATGGAACATTACGAGGTGATGCCGTTTCATTTTATACGTCGCGTAAAATAAAAAACACGACCGCTCCCAATGCGCTGGGGTTGAGGGATCGGCGCCGAACGACCCTGTCACGGCAAAGCTGCTCCGGAGGGGAGGACTTCATGTGTGAAGTAATAAGCGCACAATACTGCACTCAACGTACAACATCGTAGATGTTACACTCTCCGTTTTCTTTTTTTATGGTTTCGAAGTTCTCTACGTTAAAATAAAATTTCTATTTCAATGCATTTGTATTAAGAACATTTTAAAATATTTGTATCCACACTTTTTTCATATAATATGTTACGTTTAATTGCAAAGTATTTAAATCATTGCAAAGCAAATTTGTAGCATGTTCATAGATGCGGACAAATACAACTACAAATGGACAATCGTATAACTTGTTCATCATAATTACACAAAGAAACTGAATGACACAAATTACACAATGAAACACAAATTACAAAGTGAAAGCCTACATTGTACGTATAACTTGTATATTTTTATTGGCTCTGTGACGATCTCAAGTAGTTTTGCAATAAAATGTTTGCAAAATATAAACCATTTGTATTAATACATTTCGATGCAACTCGAATAGTATGCTCAAAAACAATTTTTACGTGTTTTCCCTCCATTCTCTGATTTTTTCTTAAAAATATTTCACGAAAGAAATGTGTTCCTAAAATTTATAAACCTCACAAAATCAGATCATCTCATGACTCCAGAAAAAAAGAAACCATTAGTCCCAACAGAACGTTATTCTTTTGTGGGGGAGCTAATAACAAATTGTCTGCACCTATACCCGTTCTATGGATTTTTTCTTAAAACTGTTCCATGAAAAAAGTATTGAATTGATTTTGCCTTATTTTACGTGGCGAGACTCGGGCCATCAGGCCCGCTCTTCCGTCGGACCACTCAAATTTCGCTACGCTCCTTTCATCTAGCAGAGAAAGGATATATTTTTTGGGCGAGAAACAGGCGATTTTGAATTTTGCTCAGAGGCGTCATTTAGGCTTGAGGATCTTTTGTAAGTAACATGCAAGTAAATCTACTATCATGGGACAGCCGGCTTTACTTCCCCTCCGAAGGAAGGCGTACGAAGAATTTTGTCGCCCTAAAAATCCACGGCTTCAATCGGGTTTGAACCAACGAGCGTAAAAATTTATAAAGGTCACAAAATCAGATAATCTCATAGATACAGAAAATAAGCAACCATTAGCCCCAGCAAATTGTTAGTCTTCGATGGTAGAGCACATAACAAATTTTCTGCACCTATAGCTGATCTAAGGAAACCTGTGCAGCGCCCTCGCTGCACCAGAACCGAAGCTCCACTAGGTCGCGCAAAGTTTGCTCGGTCTTGGCGGAAAGCGGGGAGCAACGGGGCGGGGGAAGAACAAGATGGATGGAGACGGCCGAGTGACAAGTGAAGGGCGCGAGCAGGTTTCGCGAGGGCCGCCCACTGAACGAAGAGAAAATCCTGGGAATCGGAAGAGACAAATCGCACGGCCTGCCGAGGGAATCGGCAGAAACGAAAACGGCGTCCGGGATCCACAGGATCTTTAGGAAAAAAAAAAATCGGCGATGCGAGAATAGAAGGAAAGAGCGAATCAAACAATTGAAGCAAAAAGCTGAAGTATCGGTGTTTCGTCGTTGAAAACAATTAATAAAGCTTTGTTCTTGGGACTTGGAAAGCATTATTCAGCAGTGAGCGGAACTTTTGAAAGGAGGAAAAAAGGTCGCAAAGAATATCAATGGTATTATCTTAGAGCTGATAATTCTACGGAAATGTGTTTGATGTCGTAGTCAAAGAAAAAGAACGAAACATGCACGTTGATAAAGGATCAGATGGTAGGTGATACACAAAACAAAGTTCCGCATTTTAGAGCCGTAAAACAAATAAAAGGTGTGAAAAGTGCAGACGGTTCGATACGCTAATAAAATAGAGTGGCAATGGAAAACAGTTGAGAAGTGTAAAAAGAGAAAAATTGGGAATATCGCCTTCACGAACAGACAAAAGAAATTGACAACCATTGTGTTGAAGTTTCTACACAATCGACTGTGTAAAGTAGCCGGACTCTGGGGTACAATTTAAGGCAATTTGTTTCTTCATAATTCAACTACTTGTTTATCAACTTCATCTCTATAAGAGTATGCCCCCTATCACAATTTTATTTCAATGTTTATGTTTGGAACACAGGAGACAATGACAATCACCATGTTTATGTTTGTTACGTAGGAAACCATGAATCCCACTGTTTCCGTCAACAACGTTTGTTTGGCACGTAACAATTTCCAGGTATTCAACAAAACCTGGTTAACGAAAAACTGCACCACGTAGAAGTCCTCAAACCATTTGTGAATATGAAACACAGGAAGAGTCGGAGGGAAGAGCGAAAAGCGGCTGAACAAAAGTCTTGAGGTTCTTCACCGAGGCAGCAGGAGGGAAGCCCTGGTCCAGGCAACATGGCGACGGGAGCGATGGCAGGCCGAGGGTCCGAAGGGAGGGGGCGGGCGCGGAGAAAGGGTGCAAGCGAAGGGCGCGAGGGCGGGGAGGGTCTCGATCCGTAAACATCAAAGGGCGGCGAATG